TAGAACGTTGAACATTTTTTTGTCTAAAAAGTACGAGCGTAGTTTTGCTTTAGAACGGATAAGGGGAAAGAAAGAAAAAAAAAAAAAAAAAAAAAAAAGAGAGAAGGAAAACCGTTCCGCAACAAAAGGTTCTACAGGCAGAAAAGGAAAATTTATGTATGTTCCATCGCGTAACAGCCCCATCTGCAAGGAATTCCGTTCGGTCCGTCAGTTTTTCGGTTTTCAAAGATTTGGGTCAACCGGACAGTTGCGAGAATCCGTCGCCTTTCGGGGTTGAACCGACCGTTCATCTAATGATCCCCGATTTCTCGCTGAGTTAAGACCGATACCTTCTAGCCGCATCGGCTAACAAAAACGAGAAAACATTTTTCTAGCATCTTAATACTGATACAAAATAAGTTTGATAAACATTTTAGGAAGAAGAAAAAAAAAAGAAAAAGAAAAAAGAGAAAGAAAGAAAGGATTATATTAATTAACATTAATCTAACAGTTTACAAATGTTTTTCTAATTCTTTCAACGTATTCTATTCCATGTTTTATATTTCATTGATAACAATTTTTCTTTCTCGTATCAATCTTTTCGATTAGCTTTACAACTGTAATATATAAAGATAGGATAGAATGCGAACTATAAATCTAAATTTTTTGATTAAAAAAAGACGTTACCTTTTTTCTTTTGTAGTAATCATACTGGAAAATTTGCGTGAAAACGTATTCATGATTCGCATCGACCTTTTAAAGGCTTGTAGTGAATTTAAAGAAAGAAAGAGAGAGAGAGAGAGAAAAATAGAATGTTAAAGATCCTATCCGCGTGTAACGCCAGGAGGACATTTATCTCGAATGTCATTTGAGCCAACTTTCACTGGTCCAATGTTACTCCTTTCTTTTCTTTTCTTTTTTTTTTTTTATCCTTCTTCTCCCTTTCTTCGAGCTTTTCTTCGATCAAGAGGCACCTCCAAAAATCCATCTTCTGGAGGACCTGCAACGGCGTTAGCACGTCAACTCATCATTTGCATCATTCACGATTTATCTTCTTCCCGTAGGAAACGATTGGTAGGTTGTCTCCTTTCTCCGTTCACTTTGGTCATCACGCTATGGACAATACCGAAGCCCGATGAAAGCTCGAGAGGAGGATGATATTGTGAAGGATGTTTAGAATTTCTAAGATACCGCTAAAGGAAGAATCTTTATCCAAATATCACGCTGTTTTCCGCATTTTACTGAGATTTTTTTAGATTTCTATAGACCTTTCTTATTGAATCAGAAGAACGTGCAGTAGGTTCAAAAGAATTATATCTACATCTATATTTGTTTTATCAATTTTTCTTAACATTTCTTTTCCCATATAAATTTCTGCTAATTAAATGGAAATATATATATGTATATATATATATATATATATATATATATATATATATATATATATATATATATAATCAAATTGAACATTAAGATAAAATCAAGATTATATTCGATCGTAATACTTAGGTTTATCATTTAATCGATAAGGAAGTGATATTTCTTATTAAATTAATTCGATTGAAATATTGAAATCATTATCGGTTTACGTCTAGAATGTTAAACGTTCAGACTAAGATTGTAATGTACGGCGGTGAACATCAAAAAGGGTTGGAAAGGTTACGAATAGAAAACGTGCTCATTTAAACGGAACAAATTTTTTAATGCGTAACTAACGTCGTCTTCCCACGTCTCGTGATATTATAGAAAGGAACACAATGCACTTCTTAAGGTTACCTCTTCATAAGAGCAACGATACATCATTGCGAAGTATCCGCAACTAAACGTCATCATGTTCAGGATGTATACCAAATGCTTTTTTTGCTTCTTTTTACATAGAATCATTTACTTTTTGAAAGGAGACATCTCTTTACCTCTTTCTTGATAGTTTATCATTGAAGAAAATCCTTCCGGTAACATAGAGTTATCGAGACGAATTTTCCGACATAACATTTTCTAAGCTATCCTGTGCATCGTCTGATGCACGAAATTCCACGATTTCTGCTATTGTAGCTCATGATTTTTTTTTCTCTCTTTTATTCCTGTTTTTTTTTTTTTTTTTTTTTTTTTCTTTTCGTTCTAGCTACGAACCTCCGTGCGTCCCCATACCAAAGTGTCCATTGACGATTTATCGTTTCCGTTTGTGCTTGTGAAAGCAAGAGGTGACTGTATTGGAGTCTCGAAGAGGGTCCATTGACCATCTTTATGTTTTCACTAGAGCATGTGCATCGCATGCACTTGTAGTAGTTGCATTCGAAAAATGTGCTACATTGCAAATTGTGTTTAGTTAACGTGTATATTAATTTTATATCCATAAGAAAAACAAATCTTGATATATCATTATATATATTATTATATATATATATATAATTTTAATCGTAAAAATTATGATTATTATATTTATTTATATTGTTCGTTTATATAAAATTTCTTTACGTAATTTAGATTTTTTTTCTTATGTAATGTTTTTTTTTTTCTTTTTTTTTTTTTTATTCAAAAGAAAAGACGGATTGGAAAAAGGTTTGACAGAGAAGGAAAGAAGAGAAAAAAAAGGAGATCGAAATCGTAGAGAGACTTGGTCAGAACGCGTTACAAGCATGAGGCAAGCAACCCTCGTCTTGCAAAATATCAAAGACTCTGTAGGGAAATTGAAAGGCTTTGTACGGAAATAAGAATATATCGACTACCCTCACGTCTCGCCACCCTTGCCAGGACAGGACTTTAGAATCTTACGTTTAAACGGTTTCATGGTACAAAAGGGGAAAGGCGAAAAATGGCGGAAAATCATTTTGATGGACCATGATGGACTTTGAAGCGACATAGAAATAGATGATATTTTCAAAGAGAGTCGCTGCTTATGCATTTGACTAAGAAAATATTCAACCCGCAAATTCAAAATGTTACGAAGAAATTTTCATCAAATATATCTTTTAAACTTAATATTGGATCAATTAAATGAAAACATTATGGAATAGTTCATAAAAGTTTCGACACCAAATTATATAATTATTATGTAAGATATAAACATAATATTAATATAATATTATTACATTTGAGTATCGCGTAAAGTATGTTCTATTCTTTTTGAAATAGCAGAAGAATTTACTTTTCAGAGATTATCAATTCAACAATTAATAAATATCTATTAAAAATTTATACTTATTATGTTTGTAAGGGTAATAACCCTTGCAGAATATAACGCTATCTAGCGATTTCTTTAAAAGACATTTAGCTATTTTTTGTTATCCTCTGAAATGAGAAAATGTTATACTTATTTCATTTATAAATAATTTGTAAGAAAAGATAAGTATGTATAATGACGATAAAATTTCTTAAAAATCTATTATATGTATTTTTAATTTTCAGATAGTTATAGACTATTATCAACAAATTACCTGAAGCAGGATTTATCATCAGTTGATAGTATTAATAACTAAAGATAAACTACTGAAATACGGAATATATATTCTCTTAAATAGATTAAATTATGTTTTAAATTCTTCATGTCATTAGTCAAATATTTACAGTAAAAATATGACGAAAGTAAGGATATGAAGGCGCAAATAACTAAGTAGAATAAAAAATATAACATTTAACCATAAAAGCATAATTAAGGAGATATAATAAAAAATAAAAATAAATGGGAATAAATAATAATAAATAAGATAAAACATGAATTAATAAAAGAAAAAATGAATTAATATAAAACTTGACTTTAAACAATTTTTCATTGTTCTATATTACCTACAAATATATTAAAGTTGATTTAATAATGCCTTAATATAAAAATCCGTTTGCATCCTAACAAATGGCTACATCGATTGCTTTAGTTTCATCACGTGAAAGTAGCTATTAAGACAACTACGGTATATAATGATAACTTTACTTTACTTATATATTATTGCTTTTTCAAAATTTGACTTGTGTTTAATGTGTCTAGAAAAGAAAACACGAAAAATCCACATTATTGCGTGATCAATTCATTCAAAGAAAAAGTAGAAAAAACTTATGAAGAAACCTGTTTTACCATAACTCAACAATGAAGAGATTTATTTTACCAACCATTGATCAAACAGGAATTCATTTTATTGGCCAACGGTAAATTGGAATCTACTTTACCATCAAACGATAGTAAAGAGCTTACTTTATTGACCGTTGACGAAATAAATTTTTTCTAACTAATGGTTAACCTGAATATACTTTACCATCAGTTAAGATTGATTGCAAAGAAGAACTTTGTTATCGTTTGCTGATAAATCAGAAATTTACTCTACCGATTATTGCTGAAACAGAAATATGTCAATTGTCGGGATTCAAAAAGATCACTAAGTATTTCAAATTTGGTGATTTAAATAGTCTTTTATTTTATAAAAAACGATTTTAATAGTTGCCTTTTGGAATCTGCTGAATGAACATGAAATTTTGAAGCATATTGATATAGTCAACGATCTCCAAAACCATCAATCTAAGATCTAGGCACGATATTTTCGTTGTAATGTCTATCATATTTTATGTATTATCACAAGTATAATCTATCTAATGGCTACTTAACTTTACTGGAGGTAATTAGTTTCTTTCAGCTCTAATTAATATCATATTTTCATTAGTTTCATTGTTTTCTATATTATTCTTATATGCTATATTCATAGTTTCGATATGAGTATTCATAGTCACTTGTTAAAATAACCATTCTTCTAACTAAAATTAATCAATGTAAGAACTGGGAAATCAATATTAGTTTCGATGTAATCAAATATTATGTCTTACATAATATACGTTTCATCGAAAGTAATATTGAACTAATGACTATTTAATAAAGAACATTGTAAAAATAATGAAGAGTTGAGTTATTTTATTTGTATGATATACCTACTAGATCGTAAAACAATAATGATTTTTAAAGATCATAGTAACAAAACAATTTGATATTTCGTATAATCAATGAGGACATTCATAATTCGTATAATCAATGAGGTTATTCATATTTCAATTAATTCTAAAATTCTAAATACGTTGGTTACATCGAAATCATACTTTTAATTAAAATAAGTAGAATGAGTTAAGCTAAGCACATGATTGATTTATCAACGAGGGCAGCAAGGATTTTCATTTATTAGAAAATCTTTGGATCAATGAATAATTTATACCGTCCATTTATTTACAAACAAACAAAGACGAAAATCACATCCTTCGCTTTGTTGCAGGTAACATTTCTGATCACCATATCATATCCTCCTGAGATTCATTTCGCGCCAATGGATTTAAGCACAAATTTTTCAAAGCCTGCACAGCTTCCTCACCGTCATCTTTGGCATAAAGAGTTCTTCTTTTCGCATTCCCTTTGAAAACTTTTCTATCCAAAGTATTCGTTAAATATGCTTTTCCAAGTGTATATTTTCCACCTCGAACAGTTCGTTTGAAAGAATTTTTCGAGGATATATTAGGACGATTTACGGTTTTGAAAGATGAGCGATTCCTCTTTCTCCTCGTATTGTTTTCATCATTACCTTTTACTGTCGATCTTTTAGAATCGTTGCGTTTAACGACTCGAGCTAGTGTGTGATTGGATCGAGTTGGATCTGGTGCTCTTCTCTTGGGATGTGTTCTTCTTCGAAGGTTCGAAGATAATCTAGATCCTCCTAAAACAGGAGCCATTGTTCCTAACACCGTGGTACTCGTTCGAAGAGGTTGAAAAATCTCAGCATCGTTCCAAGACGCTATAACGGGTAATCCACAAGCATTATGCATTCCAACCAAAGGTACACCGATAGTACGATGTTTTCTCGATTCGAGAATAGGATCAAAATTTCTTTCGCTACGACGAGCATTCTCCTCGTAAACATATATCTTCTGACCTACGTGACCACGCGTACGAACCAACTCCTTATCATCTTTATTATCTCGTGTTTTGCGACAATTGGAGCTTAACCTTTTTCTATACGATCTGCGAAAGTAATTGGCCGTATCATTGAAATCGCGAACGCTCCCCTTACGAACGCTTTCCATGGACTTTCCATCGTTGACGCTGTCCTCTTTCCTCGTCAGCGTATCGAGGGATTTTGAAATTTCGTGGCAAGTATTATTCGATTTTTCAGACTCTAATGGAAACATTGAACATTGCTGAATATTCGAGGTATCATTATTAATAATGGATATTCTCTGTTTTGATGGAATCATTGGAATATTTTTTTCAGGTTCGGAAACTAAAGATTCAAATTGCAATTGCGGTGCCATCGATCGTCTTAACGTACCTATGTTCTGAGCTATCGAAGTTTGATAATCTTTTATTGGTATACTTCTGACGGTACCACCACCTTGTGGTCGTTTAATTTTTATAATACTCTCTTTGCTCCCTTCATTCTCTTTCGGAATATCGATTTTTAACAAAGACGATCCTATCTGTTTGTTGAACTCTGAGGAAATATTTTCTATTTGACGATGATTATGTTGATGATTATGATAATCCATAATTACATCGACAGCTCGTTCCTCGTAAAGTTGATCGCTTCTAATAATATTTTCATCATATTTCGGAGAATCCTTCCAATCCTCGATTATACTTCTTCCATTTTGTCTCGTTGGTTTATCGTATTCGTGCTCGATCACTTTTTTTTCATCTAAATTCTCGCTGCCCCCCGACCATCTTCATGATTTCGCTCCGAAAGTTGTACCGGACATATGCATTCTATTTTCTATTCCTAATCCTAAAAAAAAAAAAAGAAAAAAAAATAAAAGTAAATAATTTATCGTTTGATTTATTTGTGATTAAAAGAAAAAAAAAAAAGAGAAGGAAATTTTTTTTCTTACCAAAATCATGATCGTTCTCATTGAAGGGACTCAAAGTTTGCGTAGAAGTAAACGTCGAGGTTTGCGATTTCTTTCTCTTATTATTCTTCGAGCATGCGAAGAAAGTACTTAAGAGGACGCTAACCTCGACGAAGATAATCGACAGACCGATGGCGAGTAAGATTAACGCTTGCTCTTGCGTCCATCTTTCGATCATTTCCAGGCATCCCTGTAAAGTTAACATTGAAATTCTAATTCTTGAAATTTATTGCAAGCTACGAGAAAAACATGAGATTGAAAATGAATTATTATCGAAAGTCTAACCCGTATGACTGGTTCTTTTTTATCACGTTATGACACGTTGATACGGGTTTCGAACGAAAGTACCCGTCAATGTCACTCGATTATTTCAATTCTTATCCAAAGGAAAATAAAACGCGTTATATAGGAGTTCGATGAAAATTGTGTCAAATGTGCATCAAATATTTATCAAACAGATAAACGTTTTTGTCTTATGTTCAATTCAGACAATCATTTTTATTTGTTTTTTTTTTTTCGTCCCTATTAATAACTTCCTCATTATGTATACCTACCGTCGTGTGCCGAGCATACTGATGTTCGGCGGGATTTAAAGCTTGACAGAGAGTGAGATTGGCAGGTTCAGGATTAAGGAAGGAGTCCGTCTCATTGGCGTTATTCAGGGTGCAGCAACTGAGAGGTACTACCAATTCTCTTCGACCAACTTCCTGCAGCCTCCACCATGAAGTACCGTAATTGTTGCTTCCGTTTATGCCACAACAGGAAAACTATACGATTCGATGAAATTCATGTTATCAGTAAAATCGTAGAGAACATAGAATCGACATTTATTACTCTTTATAATTTTTTCTTTTTTTCTTTCATGAATAAATGAATGATCATACATACGTTATAACTTTATCTTAATAAATTTCAAATAAAAGATATTATTCTATTACACGAATACATTAAAGTTAAATTATAGAAATTTTTTAATTTATACTATAAGTATATGTACCGTGGTTTGTGCTAAGTCAAGAGCTGCTGTGAATTGTTCTCGTCCTGGAACTGCGTAACTACGTTGTAATGCCCTTATCAATCGGGCCGGTCTAACATCGATTCCCAATAAGTAAGGCCAGAATATAGCGACAATGAATACGGTACATTCGCTAAGTAGTAATAACATAATCGTCACTATATACTGAAAATAAAGGAGTTCATTTATAAAAAACGTTATAGTATTATTCAGATAAAATCAATAAAATCAAATAGGTATATGTTAGAATTTCTGAAGTAATATAATTTGTACTACAGCATAATATTCTTGCAACTGATTCGATTTTGAAAGTAACATAAATTCAGTTAAACTTACGTACTTTCATGCTTCGTTTCTTTGACTGTTATTTTCATTTATATTCTATTTTTCTTTTTTTTTTCTTATGATAACTCTCTTTTCTAATATATATATATTTATATATATATATGTATTTATATATATATATTTATATATATATATTTATATATATATATATATATATATATATATATATATATATATATATATTGTGGATCTCGCGTTAAATGTATTCGGTTAACAAGCTATATCAGAATAATAATAGTTTTTAGGTGGAGAGCTCATACTCGCCCTCCTTTTGTGAGCACGCGTGTCTGGGTACGTGTAGATCCGTTTCCGGGCAACGACGCGTGACCACGGCAGTGCAAAAGCGGGAAATCTGGTTTTAGTTAGGCTCAAGGAACGATTTCAAAGTAAAATCTGCGTAGCCGGCATGTAGATCAAGAAAAGTCAAGATTTCATCGGCTTAATTACGTGGGCATTAGACCGAACGAGTCTTTGTTTTTATAAGTGCATCAGCTCGTAAAGAGGAGCACGTTCTTTGAGATCATTCAATTTAATTTCTTCGATTTCTATTATATTTTTATCTTTGAAATTTATTTATACTAATAGATATTACTTGTTTCCTTTACTTTTCTCTTTCGTTAAACAATAATACATGCTGAATTAAAAAAAAAAAAAAAAAAAGAAAAAAAGCTTTCGGAAAATATATTCAATATTCGTTGAGCTAAGTTCTTATTATGAATAAAAAATTCTTACCGATATCGTAATACATTGATTGAAAAGACATGCCGCCCAGCATCCAAAAAGACCAGTTACCGCTATGAAAAATCCTAAAGCAGAGATGGCAAAGGCTAAGTAATAAAATAGTGGTTGATCAGGTAGAACATCACTGAGTCCTAATAAGCGCGATAGTAAAATTCTTTCATTGTCAGCTAATAATAATGCTCCCAATGACATTAGAATAAAACCTGATATCTGAAATCATAGTAAAATAAATATATATATATTTCTTTTTTTTTTTTTTTTTTTTTTTTTTATAACAATGGATTACAAATATATGGCAAATTTTTTTCACGTCGTTATTGAAATAACCCTTTCAATTTTTTTCTTTATATATATATATATATATATATATAAACTTACCAAAAAAATAATATTCGTGCAGCATACGAAAGCTCGTGACAATACTAGCTTTTTATTTTCCATAATAACAATAAGAATATTAAGCAATGTTATAATGTATTTTAATATAATTTAATTTTATTATTGTTGTTAATATATAATCAACATGTTAAAGTTTCACGTTGTTCACTTGAAAAAAAAAAAAGAAAAAACGAAAATAACAACGAAAGTTATGCCATCGTAAAGGGATGACGCGTTATAATATCTGCTCTTTGGTACGATTCGATTACGAAGTTCACTTACTCGCGCGTGCTCGAATACTGAAACGCTCGCACGAGCTCGATAGATGTACAGTGCCATACAAACTCTGGCATCTGTTAGCATACTCACGTTGCGTGCCCTCATGCGCGACCAGCCGCATGGAACCGGAAGGAAATAGAAAGGTGCGGAAGAGAAAAGAGGGGATGAAAGGCCCCCCATATGCATCGATATCTACATTTATCCACGAGTTTTGCGTTCGTTCATTCAGGTGCGGCTTTCATCGATGAAAATAGAAATGAGAATTATTCTAAGAATCGAGTAACTGTTTCTATATAACATTTGAAAAAAAAAAAAATAAAAAAAATCATCATTACCATATATAATTTTCACGAGAAAATAATTAATAATTATTATAATTAATTAATAACAATATTCTTAATTTTACAAATTGTTATTTATATATAAATAATATTATTGTATTGAAAAAAATATATTATCAAAGAAATATTAAAGGCAATAAACGTTTATTATTATCAGTAATTTAATTATCTTCAATATGCTTTCAAATTTAATTATTTGAATATGTATCGTTTTTTTATACTTTGCGTTGCGTATTACAGAACGCGAACCTTTTAAGCGCATTATTGTAAGTGTGCATGAAGCTTATCTCCTCCAGTCTGCATTAATTCAACTACTACGCCATACCTTTCCCGTTAAATAAATCCTATATAATGTTATAGTATACAAACGTATATAAATAGTAATATGTAAATAGGGTAAATTAAAGAGAAGATATATTTGTGTGAATTCGATTATAATCTTTTGAATATAGTTCATACTTTTACCGAATCGTTATAAACATAAAAGATTAAATTTGAAAATGTATAATAAGAAAATATCAAAAATCTAAAAGATTTTTCCTTCCACCGGCTGAGCAAATACCAGTAGCTGATGTTTCGTCTTGTTCACGTTCAATGGTATTATTTGATATAGGTGGTAGATTAAGTTCCTGCAATTACGTATAACATATATATTATTCCATAATACAAAATGATAATATTTAATTACAAATTAATAAGTATATTTACCTCTATTACAAATTTTTTACTTAGCAATTTAAAGCCAAGATCTGTTGTTTTAGGTTCATAAGGGTACAATGTTTTGAAGATCGGCATTTTTTTTATATGTAATAGACCATGATAATCTTTGAAAAGAGGATTAATTTCTTTCGCAGAACCATTAAAAGATTCTAATTTGATAGTAATATCCGATAAGTGCTCAAGTCTTTCCACGAAATTAACCTAACAAATTTTTAGATAAATTATTTACAAACATATGTTTTGGATGTAAGTATAAATGTAATTTAATAAAACTTACACTATTGTCAAAATTCTGAATTGGAATACTTATAATTGCAGTGGCATAAGAACTTTTTAATAGAGCTCTCAAGCAATATAGAAATTTAAATATGTCTGCACGTGTACTCTCTTCGGAATCAGAAAACCACATTCGAGAACCCAAAGAATTAATACAAATCCTCAACATATTGGTTTCAGTTAGCCCATCGGAATGGATATACATTCCATTCTTTAAAGTTTTAGCAATAGTTTCTAATAGATCTTCATAAGCAGGATTTTCAAAAATATAATTTTTTATAATCTTTTCTGTAGGTCCATGCCATTGTGTTATTCTTGCCTTATCAATAATTCGCTTATTCATTGATATTCTAAGATCATACTCATGTCCAAATGTTCCATATAAATCAAATAAAGTTGTTTTCCTATATCTCCATGCAACTTTCAATTTTTCATCCGCCGCTTGTATTTTATAATCATTTGTAGAGTTTGTTGGATTTGGTATTTGCGAAAGCAAAACAGAAGGTTTTGTATCTAGAGAAGCTATTAATAAAGGATTACGGATAACTATTCCTTCAGCTATAAAATACTTTTGTATCATATTAGCATAAGTTCCATAAGTATCTTCCTCTGTAAAGATGATGTAATTATTGTCATCATATGTTACATTAGAAAAGTAATAATATACATTATTATTGCTATACAGTAGTACACATACCAATTAAAAATAATGATCCAACAGGTAGACCCTCACCTAAAACATAACTTGAAATAATTTGAATTCATTCTATAAATTCAATCAAAGTATACTAACCTATTTTGCGATCCAAAAAAGGTATTCCAGTAGATAAAATAAGCTGTCTAGTTGTCCGAGAAAACATCGTACCTACTACTTGAGGGTACCGTTTTCTAGTTTTAGATTTGTCATATGCCATTATTAAAGTCTTTTGATGATCTAATTGATCATATAACAAGTATATCAAGTATTATAGATATTTTTTCACAATTTATTACAAGTTTTCTTACACAGAAATGAAAAGATTGTTTTAAACATTCATCACAGTAATAATCGAATAAATAAACAAACAACAATGTACAAAAACATAACCTTGCGGTAGAACTGTTATAAAACTTTTTTCCTTTTTTTTTTTTTTAACGCTAACATAAATCGCTATTATATCTTAGTCCGATATCAAGGCCGGTCTGTCGCTTCTTACGTCGATAAAATCAATAAGAACGAAACTAAATAGAAACGCTCGGTAAAGATACTTCGAAAATTTTAACGCTTTCATAGATGGCGTCAAATCGAAGAAGACTCTCTGTTTCAAGGAGACGCCGCAAGTTGGCACTGTTAACCAGCAAGAAATTATGGTTCGTCGTTTGAACGATATATGCTTCCGTACCCACGCGCAGTTCTGTTAATGGCATCGCGCGCTCACGAGGAGCCGAATCCAAAGTGTCGTTCGGGCTACGTGTCTGTTCGGTCCTTCGAAGACGTTCGCGTGAAACATCCTCAAACTTTTGACAGGGGAAACGTGCCAGTTTGAGGTTGCCGCCGTCATAGTGTCGTTGCTGCGTGAGTTGACGCGTTAGAGATACTTAAAAGTGAGGTTATGTAATATTGTTTGCTAAAGGATCTTATGCGCGGCGCGTTCGATGCCGACGCTCAATGACACGTGATATTATAAATATCTCGAGGTCAAAAGTTTGAAAAGAAGTTCGACCGTTTGAAAATATAATTGTAAATTAATTGAAAGAATTAAGTGAAATAAATAGATTAATAAATTAACAAATAATTAAATAAATAAATAAATAAATAAGTAAATAAATTAATAAATATATAAACAAATAAATAAATAAATAAATGAATGAATGAATGAATGAATGAACGAATGAATAATAATTATGACGAAAGAGGAAATAGAATATGGAAGGTGAAATATGAAAGAGAGAGAAGGAGAGAGAGAGAGAGAAAGAGGAAGCATAGTCGAAGGATTGACGTTCTCGTCGCGTCGTTGCTAAGATACTCTGGTAGAGAGTGTAGTAAGTTTGAGGAGGAAGATAAATATTAGAAAGAGATGACGCATAAATAGAGGATAGGAGAGAGAGAGAATAAAAAAAAAAAACAGAAGAAGAGGAAGGGAAGCGCAACGCCGTCGACGTCCGTCGTAGGTCGAAGCTGCTGCAGCTCGGCCGGTTGTGCGAAGGCAAGCGAAACCCCGTTCGTTGGGTCTTTCCCCTTGACAGTCCTCTCCCCACCCCACCCCATCCCTCCCTTCCCTTCCCTCCCTCCATCGGTGGGCTCCATCTCGCGCTCCTGTCATCTGTCGGTGGCACGAGTGGGTAGTAGCGGAGCGGCAGCGGCACGCTCTTTCGACTACCTGTTGTGCCGACGTTCGAAGCGCGCCACAGCCTGTCCTTTCCTCCCGCTCCCAGTCGCTCGTTCGCTCACTCTCTTTCTCTCTCTTTCTCTCTTTCATCCTCCCTTACTCCTTTAACTTCTCCCTCTCTCTCTTTCTGTGTTTCTCTACCGGTCGGTCGGCCGTGCGTGCGTCCGTCCATACGTACCCTCCCCCCTCGTAAGCTCCCCCTCTCTTCTGCCATATCCCTCGTGGCGTCGTCGTACCTCCACCACCACCACCACCACCACCACCACCACTTTCATCACTACCACCACCGCCACCACCGCCGGCACCACCACCACCACCACCACCACCACCACCACCACCGTTACCGCCAGCACACAGCCGCTGCCGCTACCGCCGCCGCCGCCGCCGCCGCCGCCGACGACGACAACGACGACGGCGACGACGACGATGAGTGCCGAGCGGTTTTCCGACGGCGGAACGAAGCGCGCGCTCTTCGCCTCCTCGAGACTCTCGCTAAAGCGCGCGCACGCGCGCGTCCATTGACAGACAGAGAGTATTTGTTAGAAAGAGCGAGAGAGGAAGAGGGACCGAGGGTGAGGGTGAGAGAGAAAGAAAGAGGGGGGTAGGGAAGAGAGAGAGAGAGAGGGGGAGGGAGGGTGGGAGGGAGGGAGAGAGAGAAGCGCGCGAGATACGGATACCGAAGATCGAGAGTGCGCGATCGGTCACGCTCACGTGGAACGTGTCTTCTTTCTTATCTTCCGCTTCTACTGCTATTACTACCTACTACTACCACTAGCACTACTACTACTACTACTATTACTACTACTACTACTACTATTCCACTACTACTGCTACTACCATCACCACTACCATCATCACTACTACTACTATTACTACTACTGCTATTACTACTACTGCTATTACTACTACTACTACTACTACTACTACTAGTATTATTACTATTCTCCCGTTTATGCGTGAACTCGTCGAGTAAGGATTCGGTGCAACTTGAGGAAGTGGAGGAAGAGAAGGAGGAGGAAGAGGAGGAGGAGGAGGAGGTGAATCGAGCGCGTCAAATGCCGCTCGTTGTCGGCTCGCCTGTCAGCTGCCGATGGAGGATGCTCAAACGGGTAGCATCGAGGGCTACTGACGAGGTCAACGTCGTCGTCGAATCTACCGACAGAGACAAGAACGAAGAGGAGGACTTGTTTGTCTTACGAATTGCAATAGCTTATCACTGAGCTGGCTTACTCTGCGGTGGATCTAGGGGGCTGTATGGAGGCCGGGGGGCTTCTGCCTCGCCAGCCCTCGCAAGGCCCCCCCGGCATTGCCCCTGCCTCCATATCTGTGTGCGTGGGGCAGGGCCCAAACGGTAATAACAATAACAATACCAACAATAATAATAATGGACCGACAAATATTGTTGGAAATCCTGTTATCGGTCAATCCAACTCCGTAGCTACGACCGCCTCTATCCATGATCTGAATGCCGTCGGACAATTGAGCGTGACAAGTCAACAGCAACTACAATTGCAACAACAAATGGGTCAAGCACCCGGCATGGGTGAGGTCCTCACCCCGAAAAGGCAGGCAGTCGTCGATCGTCTTCGGCGTAGGATCGAGAGTTATCGTCGCAGGCAAACCGATTGCGTGCCAAGATTCGACCAGAGCTTCAACGGGCTATGCGAGCAAAACATACAGGACACCCTGGTGTTGAAGCAACGATTTCTCGAGAGCAAGGCCAAGAGGCAGGCGAAGAAGACGGACAAGAAGCAGGCCGAGCAGCCCGTAGGTCTCTCCAGCGTTCACGTGGTAAGCCCTTTTCTAAATTTCCTTTTAATCGTATCGATCTTAATAATCGAGAATTATTAACATAATATAGAGCCAATGAACTATTATAGATTCTGAAATGGGAAAGATCTTTTTAAATGAATCCGATGGCTTGATCTTCATTCGATCTTCTTTCGAAATATTTTCAACGGAATGATTTATCTCATTGGCGTTTGAATTGATAAAATTATCGCCCTCATTAAATATTTAATATCATTCACTTTTTATCATATTACCCTGACTTTCTTTGCTTCTATACTCTTTACTCTTCATTACAACGTTTCTTTTCTTAGAACATACAAAATTTTTTGTCAGTGGTCAGGCATTAACATGATCTCTCTTTAATTAATAGCGATCGATGACCCCACTCCACCCCCCTCCTCACCACTTCCCCCCCCCCCTCCACATCCCCTTCGTTATACGTTTCGATTCGAACGATATAAACTTTAATTTATTTTAATTCGAACGAACGTGGATCGTTTTCCGTTCAAAGTTTGAAAACGATTTTTTGTTTTTTTGTTTTTTTTGCGCAAACGAGTCGCCAGTCCACTTGTTGCGCCTCTGAGCTCTCGAAAATCACGACGAGTCGATCGCGCTTGGCAACTGCGTGCCATCGAACTCCTTGCTCGAGCGCAGTTTGCCGTAGTAAACTCCTTTTGTTCGGTAACGCGCGCGCTATATATAAATCGGGTGAGACGAACCCACCACGATATGCGTGCCGTTGTTAAATAAAAAAAAAAGATGGAAAGAAAAGAAAAAGAAAACGCGCTTTTTGCCGTTCACATTTCATTTATTATCCCATATCGATACCTACGATCTTTCTAATTCCTTAAAAAACCGAATATATATATATATATATATGTATATATATATGTATTTTTATATATGTATTTTTATATATGTATTTTTATCAGGACATCTTCCATTTCAGATCTATATATTAAACGTACTTTGTTATCGGGGTAGATGTAGATTAGATAAATGGAGAAAGTTTTGAAAGCGAATTTCGTTCAACTTTCCACAGTAAGATTCGTTTTTGTCAATCGATATCTAAAAGAAATGACAAATATTGTCATTGTTTTAGAAATTTCTTGCCTCAGAAAATTCATATAAAATCTTCTTATTAATAACTATTATACGTATATATTCATTCAAGTATTATACAAATTTCTATTCATACGATTAAAATATATTTCTATTGATCAATATCGTTCAGAAAAATAATAATATTAAATCGATATCTTATTCATAGATATATTATATATGCCATTTAAATTCGTATATATTTTTTATTATTATTATTATTATTATTATTATTGTCTTTATATTATAGGAGAGATTTTATTGTTTGGAATAAAATTTAAAAAGCTTTAATAAATTACTTAATAAATCATTATCGTTTATCGATTTGTCGGTAAGATGTCATAGCAAGATGATTAACGTGTCAGAATCACGACATTACGCGGTTTGCTTGGCCGATGATATTTAGAGGTTGACCGAACAGGTGGATGGGCAGTGATGTAGCATGGACGTCATCGCTTTTGTAGATCGCTTGGTACTAGCATAAGTCTACATACGTAGGTTAACGCGTAGGCGTCGTTCTCGGGATGTCTCCGTATTAACCTTGTATTTACGTCAATGCAGGGACGCTTTTACTTACCCTACCTGTGACGTTTTCTCGATCGCCCTATACGATATCCTTTAATCCGTTATTACTTTAACATTTATTCAAGTTCCGACGGGATAAAGTAATTCTATACTTTACGTTTTTGTTAAATTTCATGATAATAAAAGCTTGATAAAAGGTCGATAAAGAAAGAGAAGAAAAGAAAAGAAAAGAAAAAAAAAAAGAAAAAAAAGAAAAGAAAAAGAGATAAATGACAAAGTAGCTTTTACGATATAAAAGTAGAGATAAATAAAAGAATATTTTTAGTCCACGTTGGTTGAATGTCAGTAAATTTGAAATTGTCTCTAGGGAATAAAAAGACGTCGCTTTGTTTTTTAATATTTTTCTTATTACCACACGCGCGCACACACTCGGGAATAATAATTAATATGTAAATGATTATATTAAAGACTAAAATTACATATGTTGATGAGATTGTAAATTAGATTGGGTACGAGTTTTTCAATGTCACGATATTAACGTAGGAATAAGATCGTAAGTAAGTTCCGTTTCGTTGTGCAAACTTGTGTACTACGATACGTAAGTCGATATTGTTAGTAAATGTCGGGGACAGTATATAACGCGGTTAATGATTCTTGGCATAAATATTGTACTATTATTTTATATATATATATATATATATATATATATATACATACAAAGCTTCGCAGATACGTGTTGAGCGTATCACGTGACGATCGAATGTTTATTAATAAATTGTAAGTAGGAAGGAAGTCTCTTGTCGCGCAAAATGTTTTTTCGATCGATCACATGAACTATTAGCAGGATGTGTATTGTTTAAAATAGAATTTAATTTGCAATAAATCATCGATACGTTGATATAAATTTTCACAATATATTTTTTAATAATATTGTAATATACATGTATGTACTTTACATGTGTATTGTTTAAAATAGAATTTAATTTGCAATAAATCATCGGTACGTCGATATAAATTTTTATAATATATTTTTTAATAATATTGTAATATACATGTAACATACGTATATATATATATATATATATATATATATATATATATATATATACACTACATGCATTATGTACGTAATATTATGCCTAAAAGCCCGTTACATCTCTATCTATATATTCCTGGCGTTCATTCAATTGAAGTAGCATAATCCTGACGCGATGTTACGGTTCTCTCGTTGGAGAACGAAAAGTGCGAACGGGCACGAGTCTAGAAGCGGGGAAAGCTGTGGGAACCGTGATTTCCGTCGAGAACTCGATTGCGATGTACCAGATTCTTTCGTACGACGGATTCTTCAGAGTTTTTCTTTTATCTCGCATTTCCTCTTTATATTGTATATTTATCGACGGAACGTGCAAAGTTCCTTTTTAAATTCATTGAAAATATTTTATTTGAGATAAAAATTATGGGAACGGTTTGTTGTATTTCTATATAGAAATCATTTCAGTTGTATTACGGGCAAACTCGAAAATAAATCTCTTTTTTCTTTTATTTTTTTTTTTTTCTTTTCTTCTTTTCTTTTTCTTCATTTTTGTTTGGAAAGATTTAATATTTACACGCACGTTTATGCTTCCGGCGTTTGCGTTGACATCGTCTCGAACTCTCTCTCTACAATCGTGAAATCACTCTCTCGTTACTCGTCCACGTTCATTCTTATTCAAAGCTGTCTGGTGTCGCGGATAACACGTGTCAGAGCTGCAACATCTCGCGAAGCGAAGAATAGGATTGGCTGGATTGCCGACAGTGATTCTCAATCGACTTGAGAATTTGCTTCTCTCTCTCCTCTCTCTCCTCTTTCTCTCTCTTTCTCTTTCTCTTTCTCTTTCTGTCAGTCATCCACCGAACGTGCCCACGATGAGACGGACACAAGGTTATTTGTTCTCGTTCATTCTTATTCGACTCTACTTCGAGAAAGAGAGAGAGAGAGAGAGAGAGATAGATAAAGAGAGAGGGGGGGGAGAGAGAGAGGAGGAGAGAGAGAGGAGAGAGAGAGAGAGAGAGAGAGAGTGACTCACTTGCTGAACGTTGCACGAGAGCGAGTTCGTGAAAGCAGTGCTTCTCAATCGATACCACGCCTCTAAACACCTTTTTATCATGCAATCTTCTTGGAATCGTTGTTTCCCGTTGAGAAATCAAAACGATAGGGATCGAAATTGTTATCTTCGATAAAAAGTATGCTTCGTCTTCGTATTGAAATGCGTTTTCGTCGAAGCGAATTCATTCCTCGTCTCGATTTATAAACAATCTCTTTTTCTTTTTTCGTTTCTTCTTTTTTTTTGTTTTTTTTTTTTATTTTTTTTTTATTCTTTTTTTTTTAAACAGCGTTTTAAGACAATATAGACGATTAAATAGATAGCTGTTGGAAAATGGCGAGGTTGTGTTGAAAAGAAAGGAAGAAAGAAAAAAGTAAAAATAGAAAGGAAAAAAAAAAAAAAAGAAAGAAGAAGAAGAAGAAGAAGAAAAAGAAAAAATTTCTTAAATATACAAAACTTTCTCGTCATTTCGAGGAGAGGATTAATATGAGAAATCCATAGAAATGTTATTGAACGCAATATCTAACCAGTGTTTGCCACCCACGCATTCGTCGTCTCTACGCTTTTAATATGTATACGTCGACTTATTAGGCGTTTGAAAGTGGCAAGAAATTAACGTGACAGTATCGATCTTTCGTTTTTCCATACGACCGAGTAGACTGTTTGCCAATGAGGGGAAGATCGACTTCGACTCTCTGTCGTCTGATTTTTTTCGTATCGTACCGGCGACGCGCAAGGAAAACGGAATGGAGAGACGAACGAGAGAAGGGAAAGAAAGAAAGGTGAGAAGAAGGAAAGAAAGAGGCCGGTTCGTTCCACCTACTCGTAACGTGCATAAGAAAGAGAGACAGAGAGACAGAGAGAGATAGAGAGAGAGACAGAGAGAGAGAGAGAGAGAGAGAGAGGGACTGCGAGAAGTGCCTTCGCCAAATAGGTCTGCTCACCTTGGACGACAAGTTGGCAGGACATCCAGAGAAAAGGTTGAAAGATGCTGCCCATGTATATGCTCGAATACGTTCGTACCTATACTATGTGTGCAAAAGAAAGATAGATAGATAGATAGATAGATAGATAGATAAAGAGAGAAGAGATAGATTTAAGATTTGCATCACAGGCCGTGCTAAAAAATCGAACGATCAAACTTAAAAGATCAAGAAAGACCGGGGTTCTCACGTGAAACAGATGATCGGACATAGCCGATAACGTTGCAATTAATTAATACAACTTCGATGCAGATTAATGCAGATCGAATGCAATCGACGATAGAGAAACGTAGTACGAATTAGTATC